TAGGGCCGGGAGCGGGAGCATCACAGAATGCCTGGTTGTTAGAACAAAGTGTTGTTGCATTGAGGGAGGGCTTGAGCAGAGGCCCAAAGTCCGTCCATTACCTCAGTGTATTGCCATATAAATATATGTACACACGCCAATACCTCTATTTGTAGGAATTAATATATTTACCTACGCACACACTGATGTTTATACCTGTCGCCATAGCTTTGCTTACTAGATCTCTCCTCTGTTTCCTTTTACCCTCCTCCTGTCCCGCCATCATGCTCAACCTTCTTCTGTCTCTTCGTAATTCCCCTCCGCTAGATTGCTGTTGCTCCAGTGCCCCCAGGATCTCTACTACATCCTCCTGGTTGTTGATTTTAATTCCCTGGTTGTTCCCATGTCTATGCTGTTGTTTGCTCACCCCTCCCTTCCCCCGCCTCTGTTAATCTTTCGGAGATTTTTCTATATCTGATGACATTTGCTTACGACTTCTGGATGTATTCTAATTTTACTTTCTCATAACTAAAGCTAATGTACTTGGAATTGATTTTAGCATAGAAATAAGCTATTCCAATAAGACAATTATTTGATTAAAAACAATCTTTTTCCCTTTTGACCTAATGATGTCCATGCATTTCAGAGTAAAACTGCACTCCATAGAACTCTCAGTGGCTCATTTTTCAGCCTTTCTCTGGCCTTCACCCTCCAACCTTTGGTGGCTGAAGGCTTAACTGCCTGTCACCCAGGGACTGTCCTTAGGGACCCACACATCAAAGGGTGAGTGCGTCCTGTCACTCCTCTGGCTCACTTGCTGTGTCAGGAGTCAACTTCCCAGAGAGACTGAAGGGCCTGTTCTGAGACTGAAAACATGATAAAATTAGGATGGGAACATCTCACTGGCTGGTGTGTAAGTCTCTCTTTCCTGATGTTCATGTACAGTTTAGCAGCCAAAGCCTCTGCTTCAGGGAACTTACTAAAACGCATGGTCAGCAGCACAAGGGCTTGCTGTTGTGGTTCTTCTGAGACTGGCCACTCTCATGTCATCATGTAACAAGGTTGTATTTGTGCGCCGTCTGGGTGTCTGTCTGCTCCAAGGAGCAGGCAGTAATGATTGCTGTACAGTAGCTTTGTGTCTCAGAGTTTGAAAATTGTCATGAAGTCTGGATTCTTTCGCTTTCTGTTTTTCAACTGGGTTCTGGCTGCTTTGTGATTAATGCTGCGTGCTGTGAAGGGACACAGTGCACAAAGTGCAACTGTAGAGTTTTTAAAGAGTAGATGTAAACTGTCACAGTTCACCAAAATGACATTCTCTTTTCAGCAGCTGGTCTGTCGGTTCTTGGTCACTTGAAGTTCTTGAAATCGAAGACTGTGAGGTCAGGGCTTTGAGTTGCCCTTTGTTCTGCAGACCACTGGGCTTACCAAGATGGTAAGGGGCTAAGGGAAAAGCTGCAGTGTCTGCAGTGATTTCTACTTGTTAACAGCTCATCCTGCTTCCTCCTGTAATTCATGTTTTCATAAACATTCTACTTGGTCATGTGCAAAGAAGTGAACAGTGTACCCTTCTGGGAATAGGGGTTAAATTTTAAAGCATTTATCTAACTCATGTCATGTGTTCTGAGTGTTCTCTTTCCTGAACCATGATAATAGAGAGTGATAAGATTGCAAATGTCCACGAACTGTGGGGAGATAAGTTCACTGTACCCTGTTTCCCCGAAAATAAGACAGTGTCTTATATTAATTTTTGCTCTCAAAGACGCGCTAGGTCTTATTTTCAGGGGATGTCTTATTTTTCCATGAAGAAGAATATGATACACATTTATTGTTTATTGTTTTATTAAAAGAGACCTTGCATTTCCTGTCTGCTCTGGCTGTGCCGCGGCCAAAAGTGAGCTGTGCAGCAGCACCCACCGCTACAGTCCAGAGTCCAGAGTTATGGTAGCTTACGAGGGGCCTTATTTTCGGAGAGGCCTTATTTTGCGGGGGATGCCTTATATTTCAGCGAGAGGCAAAACTAAGTAGGTCTTATTTTCAGGGGTGTCTTACTTTCAGGGAAGCAGGGTAGTAAAAGAAGTATTACATGTTTGAGATACCATGTAATCAGTGAGGAAGTGAACCTAGACAGGATGGGGTGATTGCTCAGCCCTAGGTTAGACATTAGTAGGACACTGGACCTTGCGTCAAATCCTTGGGAAATCTCAGTTCCCCAAGAAGCTCATCCGGCCCCTCCTTTCACACTCTGAACTGCATGGTAACTTTTTGTTTTTTTAATTATTTTATTGGGGGCTTTTACAAAACTCATCACAATCCACCCATACATCCATTGTGACAATTACATTTGTACATATGTTGCATTCATCATTTTCAAAACATTTTCTTTCTACTTGAGAACTACAAGGTAACTTGCTGAACCAGAATTTGTGGGATGTTTCAGGATGCAGTGGCCCTTGAGGACGTGGCTGTGGACTTTTCCCAGGAAGAGTGGGCCTTGCTGGATCTTTCCCAGAGGAAACTCTACAGAGACGTGATGATGGAAACCATCAGAAACCTGGCCTCTGTAGGTATGGATGGCTTCTTTTTAAAAGTCACCTTCTCTGGGACCACATGTGGCATACCCGTTGTTGGTGCTCCACAGTGTGGGCCCAGTGATGAGAGGACATTGATAAATGGGACAAGTGTAGTATGTGCCCTTTGGAGCATCGTGTTATAGCTTCTCCATGAATGTAGACTCTGTGTGTTACAGGGATATCTTATTTCAATTGTGACTGAGAGCCTTGTTTCTTCTAATGTTGTACACTCAGAGAGATATTTGTGGTCTGAGCATTGCATTGAGACTTACTATGTCTGTCACATGTTTGACAAGATAAATTACATCTCCCCACACTCTGGACACCTTGACTAACAAATCTTGCCTCAGTGTCAGGGAAGTGTTCCTTGCTCGTTGCTGCCTTCCCCATGATAGGTCTTTCTCCATGAGCAGCAGGTCAGCCACGCACATTTGATGTCCCAGAGTAGCCAGAGGAAGAGCCGAGGAGAGGCAGGTAGCACCTGTCCAGCACCGCCGTGCTGAGGGCTGCAGGAGGGAAGAAGCTCTGAAGGACCAGGCTGCAGGAGGGAATGAGATGTGAAGACGTCCGTGTGAACTTGTCTCTTTGGGTCGAGCACACGCCCTTCACAGAGACTGAGCTTGCTTCTCGGACCGTGTCCGTCCCGGCACCGCAGTGCTCACAGAGAAGGTGGCCCTCACTCCTCTCTTCGTGGTCCGTGGGGATTGTGTCTACTTTGTTCTTCCTTTGCATTCCAGTTGTCAGTTTCAGTCGTCATGGCACTGCCTCCTGTGGAGTTGCTCTTTGACCGTGGTCTAAGTCCTGAAACAGGAAAATGTATTAAAATCTTTTTTCTCACAGCAACCTGTTCCGTCTGAGTAATGCCTTTGCTCTTTGCTTTACTTTTAACCTTCACTTAAATCATGGTTTCAGTGTCTCAAAACCTGGATGATGGAGAAAAGCTGTCCAAGGAAAATACACTAGTACAATTCATGAAAAATGAAACCTCGTCCTCTCTGTTAGGATCAATCTCTGCATTGGGTGTCACTGAGGATCAGAATAAAGACCAGACTGCATCTGTGAGGTGAGTGCCACTCACTTGAGATAGCACAGTGTTGCAGAAGAGAGTTTGAAAATGGTATCATGGCATTGAAATGCTTTTATCAGAGAAAGTCTTTAAAAAGTTAGTGGTAAATGGAAACGTAACCTAATTTTGTAAGACTTTTTAGTATCCCCTCATATACAAATGTGTTAGGCCAGATTAACCTTAGAGAGAAATCCAGAGACATTCATTATGTGTAAGAAAGAGCTTTATATCAAGAATTGATTGTTTATCAAGGAAACAGCTCAGCCCAATCCAACTCAAGTCCTTAAATATGTTTGTGGTCCATAAACCCCTCTTCCTCGGGAGTGGGCAGTAGAGAAACAAATCAGAGATGGAGAGTCAATGTTGCTTGACCTCTGCCTCATGGTACTGAGCACTCAAAGGCACTTAGTGGGGCATACCTTTTCCTACCTTGTTTGCAGGCATTTCCTATATGTACCCATTTAACAGAACCAATTTAGTGGTTGAAGGCAGTGAGCTTACAAACACTCTCTATTCACACTTACCAATAATCATTTCTATAACATGTTATATCAATAACAATAATTAGAAGAAATCAGCATAATGTATATACTCGTGTATAAGTTGAGTTTTTCGGCACGTTTTTTGCTGTTATCAGCCTGATGCATCACCACTATGCCACCTGGTGGGGATTTTCAGCACATTTTTAATGCCGTTTTTGTGGTAAAATTAGGTGCCTTGGCTGATACTCGGGTCAGCTTATACTTCAGTATATACAGTAATCCTTGTACACCTAGATCCTAAACTCAATTCTTAAAACAGTCAAATTCAATCTTTTCTCATCTAAAGTCCCCCATTCATATGCAGTATGGCCTTATGCCTCCGGCTGCATCAAGCCTGGGCCAAACCTTCAGTCAACCATTTTGACTAAGCAGGATGGCCCCAGAAAAATTGATGGGGCAATTTTGGCCCCTGAGCTGAAAATCCACATTAATCACATTCATTTTCACCCTTTCAGACAGGCATAACTAAAGATAACTTTAAAGACTCCAAACCTTCACTTTGACCTTTCCAGAAAACAACCCAGTGAATAGTGTGGCCCTATCTCACCTCTTCCTAAACAACGAAAAAAATGTACCATAAGGCAGAGTTCAGGCAAGCATGCACTGTTCATTTTCATGATTTGTTTCTGTAGTACCCCACCCCCAGGTACCATTTGTGTTAGGCTGGGTGAACTAGAGACACAAATCTAGAAACATTCATATATGTGTAAGAAAGAGCTTTCTATCAAGAATTAATATTATTATCAAGGAAACATCCCAGCCTAGTACCGCTCAAGTCTGTAAGTCCGATACTAGTCCAAAAGCCCCTCTTCAGACTCACACAACCACATGCAGAATGCAGGAAGATCACAAGCCTTTGGGTGCAAAGTTGTCTGGATCTAATGACGGTGTTTCTGGCAGCAGTCAGGGTCATCCAGCAGGAGAGTGAAGGCAGAGAGGGAGAGCGTGAGGGTTCCAGGGTCCTGCAGGTTAAACTGTACCCCTGCACGTTTATATATCTTGACCTGAAATTTTGTAACTACCACAGTATATAAACAAGAAGACTTGCATGCATTGTAACCCTTATGGTGCACGAATCTCAAACCTGTTACTGGTAGGTGTATTTTGACTGGTGACTTTGCCATTTTGTCAGTTAAGTATGTGAAATACTGAATAATTAAATCATATTTTGCTTATACACAATTAGAAATCACCAAAGTGTAGAAATAGAATAGTGGTAGCATCTTCGTCAGATGATTTAATCTGAAACGTGAAATAATTCAAGGTAAAAAAGATAGCATGTTTACTGGGTGTAGTAGTGTTGAAACTAACAAATATATATTTAACTTGCTTGTTTTAACAGACAGCATATGATAGAGAATGTCAGTGAAGTTGATGAAGACTATCAGTGTGGACAGGCCTTCAGCTGGATTCTAGATCTCTCTGTGCTCAGAAGAACTCCTATAGAAGCCTATTCTTCATCATGCCTTCAGTATCGAAAATCCTCCATGAATCATTCATCACTTACACATCATATCAGCTCTCACTTTGAATATGGTACATATCAAGATAAGGGATGTGAAGAAGTCTCCATTTGGTCTTCTTACCCCAGGACACTAGTGCAGACTTTTACTGGAAAGAAACCCTATGAATGTAAAGAATGTGGCATAGCTTTTCGCTATCCCTCTCACCTCCGTACACATATGAGAAGTCACAATGGAGAAAGGCCTTATGAATGTAAGGAATGTGGGAAATCCTTTCTTCGGTCTTCAGGCCTTATTGAACATATGAGAAATCACAGTGGAGAGAGGCCTTATGAATGCAAGGAATGTGGGAAAGCCTTTGTTCGGTCTTCATCCCTCAATAGTCATATGAGAACTCACAGTGGAGAGAAGCCATATGTATGTAGAGAATGTGGGAAAGCCTTTAGTGTGTCCTCAAATGTCATTCAACATATGATAATTCACAGTGGAGAAAGGCCTTATAAATGTAAAGAATGTGGCAGAGCCTTTTCTCATTATTCATCCCTCATCAGACACAGGAGAATTCACAGTGGAGAGAGGCCCTATGAGTGTAAGGAATGTGGAAAAGCCTTTTCTCATTATTCATCCCTCAACAGACACAAGAGAGTTCACAGTGGAGAGAGGCCCTATGAGTGTAAGGAATGCGGCAAAACCTTTCGTTGGTCCTCAGACATCTCTATGCACAAATACACTTGCAGTAAAGAGAAGTCTTAAGGATGGTTTTCCACATACTGATGCTTCAGATTAAAAATTCCTTGAAGTCTCTCCTAAGAGAAAACATCTCAGAGAGTAAGAAGGCAACAGAAATGGAAAGAAGGGATCATGAAAATTTGTGCATTTGGGAAAACTAACAGTTTCATTGTAAGTATACAAAGTATACATCTGTCTTAAAAAGTGGCTAATTCTTCAGTCTCATGAGCAGCTGTGCTGGTGTGTACTTTCTCGGTTCTTGCTAAATTTACTTCAGCTTTTTGTATCACAGGTAAGGATTTAGGGAGCAGTCTTGAACATGAGTTTGTGTTTTTAAAATTTTAAGTTAAATTGCAATAAAATGTGCTGATCTTATATTTGGATTGAGAGTGGTTTTTGGCTAATTGGTTGTGCTTTGCTTCCATCCTTTCCACTTTTACCCACTGAAAAGTTAAGAATTTTACCCTTTGTAATTCTTTTAAAAAATCATTTTATTAGGTATTGTACATCTATCACAATCCTTACATACACACTTGCATCAAGCACATTTGTACATATGTTGCCATCATCATTTTCAAAACTTTTTTTTCTACTTAAGCCCTTGGTGTTAGCTCCTTCTTTTTTCCCTCCCTCTTCCACACTCCCTCCCTGATGAACCCTTGATAATTTATAAATTACTATTTTTTTTAATGTCTTACACTCACCAATGTCTCCCTTCACCCACTTTTCCACTTTTCTGTTGTCCATCTCCCTGGGAGGGGTTTATATGTACATCATTGTGATCAACACCCACCCACCCCACCCCCCCCAGCCCACTTTCCCCATACCCTTCTGGGATCATTACTGTCATTATTGTTTCCGAGGGGTTTATCTGTCCTGGACTACCTGTGTTTCCAGCTCTTATCTGTACCTGTGTGCATACTCTGGTCTACCCAGATTTGTAAAGTAGAATTGGGGTGGGTCATGATATTAGGGTGGAGGAATCATTAAAGAACTAGAGGAAAGTTGTGTTTCATTGGTTCTATACTACACTGACTGGCTTGTCTCTTCCTTGTGACCCTTTTGTAAGGGGATGTCCAGTTTACATAGGGCTTTGGGTCTCCACTCCGCACTCCTTCTCATTCACATTGATAAGATTTTTTGTTCTGGGTCTTTGTTGTCTGTTACATGATTCCATCGACACCTCATGATCACACAGGCTGGTGTGCTTCTTCTATGTGGACGTTGTTGCTTCTCAGCTAGATGGCTATTTGTTTATCTTCAAGCCTTTAAGACCCCAGATGCTATTATCTTTTTATAACTGGGCACCATCAGCTTTCTTCACCACATTTGCTTATGCACCCATTTTGTCTTTAGTGATCATGTCTAGAAGGTGAGCATCATGGACGGCCAGATTATAAGAACAAAGTGTCCTTGCATTGAGGGAATACTTGAGTAGCGGCCCGATGTCCGTCTGATACCTTAATACTTAACATATAAATAGATGAACATAGACTTTTAACTCTATCGTTATATATAAACATATTTACATATGTGCATGCTTATATTTAGAACTTTATAAATGTCCTTTGCCTCCCAGTCCTTTCCTTTGTTTCCTTTTCCTTTCCCTTTCCTCTTTTTCCACAATCATGTTAGGCCTTCATTTGGGTTTCAGTAATTCCCCTGTGTAATTAATTCTTAAGTCCTCATGGGCAGGAGCATTTTGAGGCTCTTCAAGTATCTTGTATTGTCTACTACTTTAGATCCATTGATCGTTATCACCTTAAATTATTATAATTTTGAATTTGATGCTGCTCTGTGCCACAGTGTTTAGCTGAGGCATCCTGTACTCTGCTCCTCTTATGCACTAATCTTGCAATTCTGGTAGAATTCATGAACAAACCATTGCAGCTTCCCTTCAGAAGTTAAAAATTAACCCACTTCCAATCAAAAGACAGTATTCACTAAACAGTACCTGCAGCTGGGGGTGAATGCAACTGATGGTGTGACTTAAGCCTGTTCTCTGCCCTAATGGCTACTTTATATATTCTAAAAGGTACAGTAGTTTATTATTTCATACAGTTAGTACTTCAGCAAGAATATCAAGAATAGTAAAACGTACACAAAACTAGATTGTTTTAAGAAAAATTTAAAATACTAAGAAGTATTAATACCTACCTCAAAAATCAAGTTGTTCAATGTGTTTGTATATTGCTTCTTGATAGACCACACTTGCAAAATTCACTCTTGTGTGAACATCATTGATCAACTGTGATTTATCCTGAACCATCTTTTCACTGTAGGAGTAGGATCCCATTCCTTTAGAAGTAGGCCAGTTAGATAATAGTTACTGTGTTTGCTATATTGAAAACAGGTAACTTCTCCGAACACAATACGTTGATCTTTGAAAAAGTTCTTTCCACTTCTCCTGAACTTAGAGCTTGAACCCATTGCCTCTGACCACATCTTGTAAAGGTCATGCAGTATATCCACCTCTCCAGTTGTGGAGGCACCAAGAAAGTCTCTGGAAGATAGGTTGGGGATCTGGGGGGCTTTTACCATTTTCTGACCAGTGGCTCTCATAGAGAGGAGGTTTGAGGGTAACTTCTGTCTTTTGTAGGTCAGCTTTCTTTTCATCAATCAGAACAGCTGGGAAGGCTGGGGTGGGCTTAGGTGGGATACTCGGGGAGCTGACTGAGCAAATTTCTGGGTATTCCTGCAAAAGCATAAAGCCTGTAAATATGGGACTTTGGACTATGTCCCTTATCAGAAAAGCTCCAACTGCAAAATGGCATTGTATTCTAAAGATGTGCCTGGAAGCCAGCATTTTCTGCTCACCCAGGGGTATTGAGGCCAAGCCGTATTACAGAAAAACACGTGTTTTTTTCTCCCTCAGGGAGTCTAGCTGGAGGCACAGTTTAGCCCAGTTCTTAAGGACACCATTCGAAAGAGTCACTCTGGGCCTTGTGGGAGACTGATTTTGTCCCATAATTGCATGACCTGGGGGATCCTGTTGCCCATTTAGTCTCTCCTGGACATGCCCCCAAGATGTTAGGATGCCTTACTGGTTTCTCAAAAGGAATGGTGGCATGGTGATATCACAAAGGCTGAACAAGCAGACAGGAATCAGCACAGCAGGTTTATTGAGCAGTGAGTTAGGAGACACTGGGGACAGTCCCCCAGTGGGATTATGCTACAGAAAGGCAAAAGTAGTGAGACTCTGCCCAGAGCTCACAGGGACTTTTTATCTGTCCGGCAGGGGCCTTTGTGCTCAGGTTTGGGGTTTTAAAAAAAAAAAAAGGCTGTTGTCGCAGGTTGAGTAGCAGGTAAACATTGGCCCCTTTGGGCTGCGACCCAACTATTTCCTCACTTGGCAAGGTCCTGGGTGTTCAGGTTTACAGCCTCCGTGTTTTTGGTACCTGGTGACTCATCAGTCAGACTTATCTTGTGGCTTTCCTTGTCCTCTTCAGTTGCCTCTTGCATAGAGAGGCACAGACAGTCTCCTCCAGACAGCCTGCAGGAGCCCAGCTTCACCTCCCCCCACCCTCTAGACCCAGTTACTGGTGCCTCAGCATAGGCCTAGAATAAGGGGGGGGTGTGTGTCTTAAGGTCCTGACTGTGTGCTCACCTAGGTTTCCAGGAGATGTGGGCCACAATTGGCTCAGTCAGAAATTCATAGTCTATAAATGTCCCAAGCTCAGGCAGGAGGTCAGAGAAATTGGGGGCCTGGGATGTTTGTAAGAGTAAATAGCACAGTGAACTTTGCCCTGTGTAACCTGAGCACAAAGGCTGAGTTCCTTTATGAGTTAGAAATTAATGTAATTCTTATTGAAATGATTTAAATAAAGGGGGTTATTAAATATGTTCATAGTGGAATAAGTGAAGAGCGAGTTAAGCGTTAATAAAATTTGTAGTATGGTTTTCTTTGGCCTCCCTAGCAGTAAGAGTTAAACAAAATGAATAACTTGTGATTTAACAAGACAAGAGTGCTTGTTAAAGAGTAACCAAACTAAACTTATAATTTTGGGTCTCATAGAAAACCAAGGTAAATTGTTCCATTGTGCAGTTAGCATTTGAATTGGAAGGACCAGGCTTTTGTAATAACAATAGTATTGAAGAAAGAAGAACCAGGTGTTCAGAATTTAAGGTCTGGCATTTTTCCCTCCTCCAGATTTGGGTTTTATGATTTACAGTCCTTGGGTCACACAAACTAGTGGACTTCTTCCAAGTGGACTTAGTTGACAGTGCCCTTAGGGCATTGCTTGTTTCAAGACACAGACTCTTCTTTTTGATAACTAGGCACCATCTGATTTCTTCACAACCTAGTTCCTTTGATTTAGTTCTTTTTCTGACTGTGAGAAGAGAGTGTGCTTTCTCTCTCTTTGGTCTCTTTAGGAAAACTTCCAGTGTTTCATGTTTACCATGATGTACTTGAAGGGTTTTTTGCAGATGCCCTTATCAGGATAAGGAAGTTCACGTATTTTCTATAGTATGCTGAAATAAAATCAGAAATACATGTTGAGATTTTGAAATATTTATTTTCCTCATCAGTTGAGATGATTATATGCTCCTCCTATTTTGGTTTGTTTGTTTTTTTGTTTTAGAGGTACACATTTTAAAATCTTACACCAATACTGTCTTCCAGGGATAAACCTTGCTTGATGATACTGTATCCTTTTAATAAGTTGTTAATTTTTCCTTTATGAATTTTTACATCTGCTAACCTCCTTTCATGCAGGGCTGTGGTTTTATTTCTTGCATATCCCAAGTTTCTGGCTATTTCCAATAATAATTTCTACATCAAAACCATCGAGAGTCCGAGGAGTGTGTGCAGTCCCACTCTGGAACACATGGGGGTAGTGAGGGGTTGAAAAGGTCTGGATTTCCCTGTCTCTGTCTGCTTGTGGTCTCGGGTCACTGCTGTTCTCATGAAATGAATCAGATTATTTTATGTTATTCAGTCTTGTAAGAGTTAGTGTAGAATTGGTATTAGTCTCCCTCAAGTATCACATAGAATTCACCAGTAATTCATTTGGACTTGTCTTAGTCTGCGTAGCCTAAAGAAACAAATTCAGTGCTTGTTTTGGCAGCACATATACTAACATTAGAAACAAATTCATAGACACTCATGTGTATAAGAGCTTATATACAAGAGCAATTGAATATTGAGAAAATGTTCCAGTCCAGTCCAGATCAAGTCCATAAGTTCGATATTAGCCTATATGCCTGATATCAATCTATAAAGTCCTTTCATACTCATGAAACACATGCAATGACGCGCTGAATGCAGGAAGATCATACGTCAGTAGATAGGAAGTCTAGTGGATCCAGTGGTGGTATAAGCATCTGCTGGTAGGGGTGTCCACGTGGCTTCTCCAGCTCAGGGCACCAGGGCA